TTAAGACGGAAGTGAAAAGGTATATGGAGGGGTTAACGGAGGAAAGAGGAAGAGGAGAAAGAGGGTGTTTTCAGCAGCCTAAAGCTGGTGGGATTAGGAACGTTGGGTTTTAAACAAACTGATGGTTTCTGATTCTGAGTAATATGGAGATTAGTTTTGATGATTCCAGTAATTTTCTTCTCGGTCTTCGAGAGGAAATGTTGGGGGAGAATGAGAAACAACACAGTAAGAAAATGTTGGAGGGGGGGAAGAACAGAATCTGGGTGGGCTTTGATTTCTTTCCAATTTTCAACTATCTTTTTTTGTTGTTGTTTTTGAAGGAAATAATATTTAGTCAATGTACAGAGAAGGGTAAAGAAAGATGGGGAAGTTCCCAGTTTCATTACAGACAGGAAATGGAAGAGAGGTTAAAGTTTGGGATGAAGTATGATGATGGATGGACCCTAAAACTGAAAAAAGTTGGGAGTTTTAAATTTTTGAGTATTGGGACTTAGCTTTCATGCTTGACGTTATTTGTCGACCACACAATCAAAAAGACAAAAAAATAATTAAAAAAAACAAATAAATATAAGTGTAGAAATCCACTCCAATCCATTTTGTTATGAATGTTCTGATCTTGAGGTTTGTAAATGGCGGCCCCATAGTTTAATGGGTGCTGAAATTCTGCTCTAATTTCTATCTATTTTTTCTTTCTCGTGTCCTTTGTCTGGAAATGGAGAATGGCCACAAGGGGTTTCTTTTGGAGTCAATGTAGTTTTAAAAAGAAGACTAGAGGGAATTTTTTAATGCATATTCTTTTTTTTTTTATTTAGACAAATGGATATTCTTTTCCAAGTTTATTTGGATATAAGATGGAGTGGAATCTTCTTTTTAGTTGAAAGCAATTCCGAAAGTGATAAGAAGTCCAAGAGAAAAAATTATTAAATTCCCACTTTGAGAGATGTGGTATTATGAAGTTGCTTGCTGAGATGACCATTCTAACAATAAACAAATTTTTTAATAAAATTCAAAATGAGAATTTGGAAAATAGTTTCTTAGGACGAATTAAAAAATTAAAAAAAAAAAGATGAGGACTAAAGTTCATGGTAACTTCATTGTTTGTCAAATGCCTTTAATGTTTGGGAAAATTTGTACTAAATTCTCCTAATTGTGATATATACACTGCACCTCTTGATGGTATTTTAGGTTAACGTTGATTTGTACCATACTTAGTTGATATCAAATGTGTCGGTAAGTGATGTACCTTCATTATTTTAAAGTTAAAAACATGATTTTGGTCTCAAATTGATTCATGTCTTGAATTTAATCTCTATTATTTGAAAAAAAAATAATTAAAACTGAAATTTTGATAACAGGTCATTTTACTAATTTTGTCGCTCTTTCTCTTCTTCTCTAGCAATTAAACACTTTGATCAACCTTTTTTTTAATTTATTTTGCAACTAATGTGTATAACATAACCTTATTATTATCAACTATATGATTGTTATTTCTACACTAAAACATACTAATTCCTTTTTGTTAATTCTTAAATTAAATTCGTCAAAGCGAGTATAATTCAATGGTAATTGACATATATCTTCAACAAGGAGATCGTGGATTCAATCCCCCAAACCCCACATGTTGTATTAAAAAACAATCTTAAAATAAATTTTAACACTGTAGATTGAATTAGAAAGGGGACTATATTTTAGATATGTACAACTAATGTGTTCATTGTTAAACTTTCAAGAGTATTTAGTGAAATACAAAAACTCAAACAAAAGATAGAGACCAACATTAAAATATATGGACAAGAACATCATTTTAACTTAAAAATATTCATCTAGCATATAATTTTGCCATAAGCAAAGAAAATGTCAATGAAAGATCAAAGATCCCACAATGCATCCTCAAATCATCTATGACAATAACAAATGTAGCAATAAAGTTGAAATTCTCTCCAATTAACCGATCTCCTTGCAGTTCTATTTTACATTCTCAAAATAAAGCTCACAAATTTTCCTGCTCACAACAGGCCACATAAGTAACCTTTCTAATAAACTTAAAAAGCGAAGAGCACAATCAGATCCAAACTAACTTAGTGTACATCATTTCTTCAACTACCCAGCTTCTCAGAATTTGATAATGAATTACAAAATTGACAAAAACAATCTTACCAATTAAAAACAAGATGACATTGAGTGATTCCTTCAAAGTTTGAATTGGTCACGCCAGAGCAAGAGGGATTACATACCAGAAAGTTATATGGTCACTGTCATTGTGTATTGAAAAAGACACAAATCTAATTGACTCACACCATAGGCATGGAATAGATTCATGGTTTCTTAACTATTCACTCCCAATGAAACGAAAATGACTTGAAACTGATACCACTATCAATTGCAAGCCTAAAATTATAAATGAACTATCTTAATAAATAAAGAAAAAGTTGTACTAAAAAAAGCAATAAATAAAGAAAAAGATAGTTGAAGAAACCCAACCCGATTATATATGAATCAAAAAGATATCCAAAAGAGAGCAAGTTTAAAAACGTAGAAAATCGAACCAGAAGCCAACCCCCAGAATTACTAAAACTTAATTAAGTAATTATAGTAAACAGAGTACAAATTCACGGTGAATAATAACATAGACAAATCGAGAATTATTATAATAAAAAGTGGCAACAATTTGAAAGCAATAGCTTCTTGAGAAGGGTAATTTTAAAGGAATCATTACAACAAATAAAATTCAAACCCCCCAACAAAAAGGCAAAATTAATCCAAAATGAGCACAGCACACCTTCCTAATTCGTTTTTAAAATTACAAAATTATACTAGGAAGGGAAAAAAAAAGGTCAAAGATACCAAGGGTTCCAAGTAAAAGTAATAGAAATCATTGACACAGTTTCTGAATAAATATCAATACAGTTTGAATGTTCATATTTCGACAACTTTGCATAACCTTGCAGTTGGACTAATTACTCCTAAAAACTAAAGAATGGACAGCACTAGTGCTACTCAACTCTCAAATGGACAGTGCATGCACCAAATGAATATCAATTACAAATGAACAGATTATTCTTTAATAAGAGAGGTTAAAAAAGGAAAGAAAGAAAAATGGCTTGTACAGTTACAAGAAGAGGATTGGTTTAGTAATGCATGGCAACATGTATCATGAATTCTTCTACCTCCATGCCAGATCAGTCATTTTTGCCCTTACCCTTTCCCTCGGTACCTTTACAGCCGTCATATGCCGAGACAAAGAAAGTACTCTGATTCTTTTGCAGAAATCTACATCCAAAATAAAAGTTAATCAATCATCACCAGGCTAATAAAGAATCCAAATTAGTTCAATTTATTAGTTCCTAACGCTCTTTTTATTGGAACATGAGACAAAGATATCTAGTAGAATTGGTATGTTTATACAAGAGAATAATGTAAGATGATATAACTTGTAAAGATCTCCTTCCCTAATCCTCATTTCTAAATGAATAAATATGAAGTAACTACATGTCGGAAATAAGAAGGATATAATAACTATGATGTGTGAGCATGCATGTGCCGGTGCAGTTTCTCACTGTTCTAACACATTCAAAGTAAATACAGTGTCAACATTTATAAGGTTCGCGACGATACTTCAGAAAATCAAGCAACTTCTGGTGCAGCCGGGTCTGTGTTTCATCTTCAATATTAACATATGCCAAAAGCTCTGGCAACTTAACTGTAAAAACAATCTAAACGAATCAGAAATCATATTAAAAAATCTGGAGTCCAGAATAAACATTATGGAAAACTGGAAACTGATGAATAATAGGATTAGGGAGTGCAATTCTCGACGTACCAAAGAGTCGTAGCAGATGTTCTGCACCATATATGGTTGACGGAGAGACATTATCTACGACTAACTCATGATATTGTTCACGTTCTTTATTGTACAAGAGCAGTACAGGCAATGCTTTATCAAAATAACATCGGATTCCTTTCAAGACTTCTCCCAGTGAGTCGGTAATGCTATACCAATGAAGAATAAAAAGTCAAAGTCAAGTCTAGTAAGCATGAAGAGCCGCTCAGATTTCATCTGAACAACAGGATTGAGGCAACAAATGTTTCAGCCTCTCATTTTTAGACGTCACAAATTAGTACAAATTTGAAATGAAGATGAATTTTAAGAATTAAGAGCCGTTTAAGATAAGGTCTCCGATAAGTGATTTTTAACTAGGGAGGGAAGAATCCAGCTTTTCCTATCTTCCCTTCTATAGAACACCCTCCAACAAATACCTTTATCTTCACCCTGAACATTTATATGAATAATTTGGATTCCTGCAATTATCAAAGTATTAAAAACTAAAACTATTACCAACTGTCCAAGGAGTTTCCCACGTCAACTTCTAATCCCAGTCGGCAGTCAAGCATTTAACCAAATTATTAAGTATTTTAAAACATGTAGTTGTCAAAACAAAACTAATATAGAAACCATAGGCACTCGTAAGGAAGAAAATTAAATGCAAAGCACTCAACTATTATCAGATTCATGCATTTTGTATTCTTTCTTAGGTATAAGCAAAACTTACGTGCCATCTCTTTTGGATCTGAACTCCAAGTACTTTGTCAAAATATCATCGACAGTTGGTGTGCGTGGAAGTTTGACTAGCTGGCAAAATCATCTGAAAAATCAATATGCTAACTAGACAGATGCATGGATTACTTAAATAATGAATCTTTAATTCATTCATGTGATAAGAAAAATACTTGAAACAATCAATTTATCAAACTAAACATTACGTTAAAAAATGTCTAATTCAATAATTGATAACAAGTTGTTATTTGTTAAGAGTATTTAAATTGCATCAAGGAAAACTGTCAACTACATCCATCAGGACCATTTTGCAACAAAATTTTAAAACCTGACGTAATGCATAAAAAATATAAAGGACAAATGGAGGAAAGTGAACTGGACTATAAGCTATCTGTGAACTGCCATTAAAATAGACAAAAGCATTAATATAATGACATGGAAATTATCGAAAGTTAACATGAAGAATGCCTATAATAATGACGATCATTGAGTGTAAGTGCAAGAACATTTCCTAATCTGGCTAATCATTTCGCTAGATGTCCAAGTTTAACCTACCAATACCTTCTGACAACCAAGTACGACAGTATTAAGAGTCCTCTTTAATAAGACAATACAAATGGAAAGAGATGCAGGACTCAAACAGTTGACATGTACCTTATCCTGCTGCGTAACAAATTCCCAATCATCAACAAGTTGCTTTCTTAGTGTTGAAGGTATTTGAATCTTGATAACTTTTTCTACGGATTGATTGTCCTTCCAAAAACCATGGAACCACATTTAACCAAATATAATGGCAGGAAAATAAGCAACATAAAAATGTAGAAGAATATCAGCTGTTCGGAATCACAGATAAAAGGAAAATATAAAAATTAAAACAAGTACAATGACTAAATCAAGATAGAAATTTAAGAGAGAAACATAAATGAAATAGAGACAGCCTAGGGGCAAAGGATTGAAACGTTTGCTTATATAATCAGAACTTGGGGCACTGCTCGTGATATAAAACTGACCTTGATGCCCGAGTCATTCTTTCGTTTCTTCCCCTTTGACACTGCAACAAATGTTAACAGATCAATGAAAATATTACAAGCACATATTGTTGTCACAAAAACAGAAAAATCAACTTTGCCATTGTAGTTTCGTATGGTTGTTTACACATTCCTACATAAAGAAACAAAGGA